CCCGTCCTGACCATCTTTGCCGGGGGCCCTTTCACAGTGCCCGTCCTTGCTTCCACGCAGGAGCTGCTGGCAGACCGCACAGGCGGCAGGATCGGCTGTACCTCCTTGCATGTGACGGAGGAAGCTCTGCCAATGTCCCTTCGGTGGAGCTATGCCTGCCTCGTAGTGTTTCTTTTGGAAAGTTGTGTGAGAAACCTGGCAGTCGGCGGCGCTGAGCTTGACCTTCTTGCTTGGACGATCCGGGGCTTGAGACTGCTTGGTCCCAGCATGGCGACGTACCCTCGCCACCAGCGGGCTCACCGCCGGCGGAGTCATGGCATCCCCTTCCGACCTGCTGCCAGACTGATCCAGAAAGCCTGTTCCCGTCCTGGTGCGGCGCTTCGGGGTCTGGCACCCTGCTGGAGGCTGTAGATCGGCAAGCACCACCGCTTCCTCGTCCACGTCGAGAGGGTCGTCCGAAGCTTGGGCCCTCTCACAGTGCCCAGAGTGCCCATCGGCTTGGGCAGCACCTTCCGACCTGCTGCTAGACTGATCCAGAAAGCCTGTCCCCGTCCTAGTGCGGCGCTTCACTGAACCGCTCGTGGGCCCTCTCACAGTGCCCGTCTGCACAGAACTGGAACCTCGAGACGCCTCTGCAAGAAACAGCTCCACGTCCTGGGATGTAGGCCCGTCCAGGGACTGCGGCAGTGTACCGAAGCGATGGAGGTGTGCCGGGACCAAATTAGCCGTGACGATGACACGATGCCCGCATGACCACTGATCTGGTTGACTCCGTACACGAGCTATCGTCAGAGACAGCGGGGATTGGGTCCAGCCAGCATATGCATGGCAGAGGAAAGCCTGGGCACTGTCTGCACAGACGGCACAGGCAAGTCCGTCGTACAAGTAGGCAGTGGGTGGGGATGTCGGCGGCCTGTGCAGAACGAGGAGGCACCAGTGAGAAGGAGAGTACACGATGCCAAAGCATGTCTGCACATGTAGCTGCCGCCGCAGAAGCTGCCCCCGCTCCTCGTTCCCGACGTTGACCACTCCAAAACGCTTGTTCCAGAGTTCCTGGCCCCAGTGCTTGCATGCTGCCAGCAGTCCGTGTGCGACCTGCGCCAGGTCACACTGTTCCCGGCCCAGAGCTTGGCACAGCGAACCCTTCGTGAGCAGGGCTTCCAGCTCGCGGGGAGAGATGGCATCCAGGGGCTCCTTCTTGATCTTCTTGATGGGCACCGCTCCCACGGGCTGCGGCTGCACCCTCTTGGCCTGCCCAGGCTCACCTGGTTCCATCGGCTCCTTCTTGACAGTCGGAATGACCACATCCCCAGGCTCCGCCCCTCCATCTGCGGCTGAGTCCTGGGCAAAGAAGCTCGCCCATTCATGGCCTGGAAGGTTGCATCTCAGAAGTGCCTGAGCAGACTCCCTCAGGAATGCAATCTGTGCCTCGGTGCAGTCGCCTTCGTGTACATGCTCTGGATCTCTAAGCACAAGCCACCCGTAGGCAGGCAGATAAGATCGCCAGGCAGTGTCCTCTACGCCTTCTATGTACGCCCGAAAATCATGGCAGACATGCCGACGGACAGCCTCGTCACTCAGAAGAGGCCAGGGGTATGTGTTGCCACTCAGCACGTAGCGCATAAGGGAGGTGAACTCGATCATCGACATCTCGCAGGAGCTCACACGAAGCGCGGCTGGCAAGTGATGAAAGATCTGCTGCCAGTCCTCTCCAGACATAGCCTTCCTCGGAGGATCAGGCCACAGCATGAAGCCAGCAGGAGATGTCAAGCCAATCCTACTATGTTGCTACAGCGAGGCACGATCTTCTCAGCAGAGCTGTGTGCTGACAATCCTCCAGACCCTCTTGCACCAGATCACGGAAGACACTCCAAGGCTGGCGAATGTGGGCGGCAGCAAGAACGCCCGCCACCGTCTGTTCGCTCTTCACCTGCAACAACCCAGCACTGGGGTCCAGGACAAAATAGGGCTGGAGTGGAGGGGTCCTCTGGGCCCCTGCTATTTAATTCTTAATAGGCTAAGAGTGAGTCCCCCCCGCCCCCCCCC